TCTCTCTCCCCCCCCTCTCTCTCTCTCTCTCTCTCTCTCTCTCTCTCTCTCTCTCTCTCTCTCTCTCTCTCTCTCTCTCTCCCCCACATATATGTTATCTATTAGGGGTACTAGTAGTGACGAGTTTGTTTACATGCATTTGTGTCGACCCTTTTCGTTTCATGATCCATAAATTGGCTTTTCAAATTATTTCACGGAAGAATCCATTCATCGCCATTGTTCCTCTTCACGGTGAGAAGTAAATGCAATAAGGTAGACGTAACTTGTCAATAAATGACGCATTCTCTTTAATTAGTTATATATATATAATGCAAAATCAAATCAAATGGTATGTAATTGTATTAAAACCAAAAAATGATTTGTTATACAACATTGAAACTAAAAAAAACCGAATTCAAATTGAAAGAATTACCTGAAAAGATAAAGAAAATGACTTTTTTTTAAGAAAACAAATATTTTTACATAAAAATTTAAATTAATAGTCTAATGTAAAAAATATATTTTTCTCTAAAAACGGAGAATATGTTTCCGAGAGATGTTAACCCTAATTTCATTAGAAAAAGGGTAAGTTTAATCATCGATAGCCAATTCATGACACAAGAGACTTCGAGTAATTAAGAAATTTATTTCGGCAGAGAGAAAAATAAGTCATTTAATGGCCATTTAATGTGATTATTTATAAGTTGAGAATTTCCATGATAGTGTTGCGTGCGAATTACCAATGTACGGTTGGTGGTCAGAAGTTATACGAAGACGGTAAAGTACAGAAAGCATTACGCATGGCAGCTGTACGGTTGGAGTAACTTTTATTATTATTATTTATAATTAATATTTTTAATGATCCTTGGAATTCTATTTTCAATTTCCAATGATTTGTAAGATAACGTTTTTAGGAGAGAGGATATACTTGCTTCCGAATTATTGGATTACAAATTCTAAACAATTGAGAACATTCGTATTTAAATAAATATATAATGTAAAAGAAAACCAACTGGACATATAGAAATTATCATGTTCTGTACATTTATATATCAAATCTCTCAAAATAAATAAATATTAAATAACTCAGAATTAAAAAGGTATAAATCTACAAAAAAAAAAAACTCAAAAATAGTATAAGAGGGACCATAACCACCGAAATGCAGAATTTTATGGATAAAAAATCCGATAGAAATTGGAAGTGAGAGAACAAAAATGAGCAATGGTCCTTGGGGGGGACTTGTGTATGTATGTATGTATGTATATATGCAAGCCATGATGTTATGGGGAAGGAAATAAACATGCAGAACCAATGATGAAGAGAGGGAATATATAGATATATTATCTTCAAAGGTATTTTGCATGGATATGAAAAACGGTGACGTAGCACGCGGAGGGGGGGGGATCAAGATTCAAAAGCATTCAAAAGCTGTCTGAATCTTTGAGACACAAAGCCTTTTGTCTCCGTTAGGGTTACCACTTTGGTAAAATGACCATTTTACCACTTCCATAATTTCATTGCACACAATACATTTCTTCAAAGGTTTCCACAGAGAACCAATCTCATAGATTCAATATATTTGTGTGTCGATAGAGACAAAATGGTCCATATAATATATATATATATATACAGCTACCTTAGCTGTGAAACGATTTTGATATCTCTTATGTCTTTTCGTATATGTAATTTTTATAAAATATCTGACGCCAAATGAGATATATATATTAGGCTATCGGGTGATAGTGATCGTCATTCTTATCAGAATTTCTTTAAACAAAACATCACAAGTTTTTCTTAATTGGTAGCCATTTTTCATAGAATACACACCTTGAATATTTAAGCGTCAAAGGGGATTTAATTTTTTTTAAGTACAAAAGATATGTAGAGAACTATAAAACAAAAAAAAGGGAAGTAAATAATTGAAATTAACAAAACTTCTCCTTTTATATGAAAAAAAATATGGTGGAGTTAGAATAATAATATATTAAATAATAATTAATAATTTAATAAAGCACGGTGATGCGAATCAACGGCTCAGCCTCGTCGCTCTCACCATCGTCCACCGCAGCCCCCGCGACGCCCTCTACGTTCCCCAAGCACGTTAGCGCCTGCGCCTTCTTGGCCTCTTTGTCCCAGTTTCTGAAACCTAAAAAGTTTAAATCCAAAAATAATTTATCAAAACACAAAATGTCCAAAACTAAATACACGCATGTCTCTATATCTTACACTACACATCAATGTGTATTTATTACCTTTGAATTTTAATTTTTTTGTGATTAATACGTACACACATAAATAGGATTCATACATGCCCTTGACTTTCGATAAGAAATTGATGGCTGCATGTGTCAACAAAAAAAAAAAAAAAATACAAAGACACTCGTGCGTTCGGATCTATTTGTGTCACAAATCTTTCAACGGATCAATCGACGACTATCATCTCTCGAACTATCAACTATATATATATATGTATGTATGTATGGCTACCGAGGCGGCGAGTTTCGCGGTCTTGGGGCGGTTGGCTCCGAGTTCGTTTCCGACACGTGTCGAGACAGCGAAGCCGAGGGAGGACGGGAAGACGTAGAGCAACGAGGTTGTCTGGATCAGGACGCCCATTGCCGCGACGGTGGACCTGGGGTTCACAAGCAAGCCGCAGAGGACGATCATGATCTCGTACCACCACCACTCCAAACAGACGGAGACGCAGCTTGGTCCGGCCAGGCGGAGGAGAGGCTGCCAGCCGGAGAAGCAGTCGCGGGTCGTCGGGTCAGTCCACGTCGGCGCGTGGAGACCACTCACCCAGACGTAGACGACGAGGAAGAAGAGGACGAAGAGGTTGGAGACGGCGGAGGCGAGGGAGACGCCGGCGAGGCCGAGACGGAGGTAGGAGACGAGAAAGAAGTTCGCCGGCAAGTGGAAGACGGCGCCGGCGAGGGAAGCCAAGGTGACGGGGTGAACGATGCCTTGCGCGCGAAGGTAGATTCTGATCGGATGAAGGAAAGAATTCGTGAAGAGATCGGAAAGAGAGAAGAGGAGGTAAATCCGAGCTAATCTGGCGATGTCGGGATCTTGATGGAGATAAACAGAGATTTTTCCGACATTGAGCCAAAGAAGAGAGATGGGTAAGGAACAGATGAGCAAGAAGACGACAGTTCTGTGAAGGGTAATGGAGAGGAGCTTGAACCGATGAGCGCCAAAGGCTTGAGAGCAGAGAGGTTCCATGCCGAGAGCTAAACCGGAAAGAACAGAGTAACCGGTGATATTGGCGAAGGCGATGGCGAAAGAGCCGGCGGCCAGTTCGAGATCGCCGAGACGGCCGAGAAAGAGCATGGAGACGACGGAGCGAAGGTAGAGGACGAGAGCGGTGAAAGCGATGGGGAAGGCGAGGGTGAAGAGGGATTTAGCCTCTGTTAAGAGAGAGACAGAGACGTGGGAGGGAGATCCATGGCAATGCAGAGGATCGAGCTTGTCGGAACCTGGGTTTTTTTGGAAAGTTTTGACGGAGAAGAGATCGAGGAAGATGCGGGTTCGTGGGGATTCAGGTTGATTTTTGTCGGAAATGGACGAAACTTTGCCGGCGGTCGGATTGCACATCGTGATCAATCAAAGACACACCTGACACAGAGAATCTCTCTCCGGTGACCCTTTTTTTTTCTCCGGCGAAGTTTTTGTTTTCTTGTCTAATGCAAAGAAAACAGAGAAGAGGTTCTCTCGTGAAGGATTAGATTGAATGCTGCTTCTTCTCAACTCTGCTGTCTTAATAAAGGACTTGGCACTGCTGCTTTTTTTTTTTTTTCTAAAACAAAATTTGTCTCTTCTCTGAAAATCCATATTTATTTTTTTCTTATAATTTCATGAGATTGTATAACGAGGTATTGATATTACAATTTATCGATTTCACGTAGGAGATAAATAAAATAAAATAATTCATATCGGTATCTCTTATCTAAGTTGTCTAAATATTATTAATCGACGACTACATTCATATAAGACATGAATTTTACGGGTTTTTATTATAATAATTATTTTTTAAAAAATTGTCTCCATTTTATCTGAGCTCAAAACCTTGTATGATATAGAACTTGTGGATTTTAAAGAAACTAAATAAGACTCAACTCATGGAAATAGGATTCATGCCTTTTAAAAGTGTATATGGAATTTTAACCAAAAAAAAGTGTATATGGCATAATGTATGAGCAAGCGAGATAATATATTTATTATTTTATGAATAAGATAATATTAGGAAATATTGTTGGATACTATACATTATATTCAATAACGATACGCGAGCGCCTCAATTCTAGGCATACATATATATATATATATATATGTATATGTTGTTATTTGTCTTCGTATTAATGCTAATTGACTCTCTTAATCAAAGTTATAAATTATGGTTACAGTTAATGCAACCGTTATATCATGTTGTCGCGGTTTTTGGTAATTATTCTTTTAAGTTTTTAAGTTTTAACTCTAAATGTTCACAAATCAAGAATCCTTTTCATTCCTTTGAAAGACTAGTGAGTTAAGACTCGGACTATTAATGGTTTTCTTTGACTACACAATATGCCACACATTGAATAAATGCAGTTACTGTCTATCTTTCTGTTTTATATCAAACAAAATAATTCAAATATAAAATAACTGGATTCTACTAAATAATTCGAATTCAAATTAGGCTTTTTAGATAATATATTAATCAATAAAAATCGAAAGCAAATGGACCCGAATAAAATGTGGATCCAATTCAACTCCAATATCAAAATCAAAAGAGATCATTTTTCTGAAACCTAAAAAGTTTAAATCCAAAAATAATTTATCAAAACACAAAATGTCCAAAACTAAATACACGCATGTCTCTATATCTTACACTACACATCAATGTGTATTTATTACCTTTGAATTTTAATTTTTTTGTGATTAATACGTACACACATAAATAGGATTCATACATGCCCTTGACTTTCGATAAGAAATTGATGGCTGCATGTGTCAACAAAAAAAAAAAAAAATACAAAGACACTCGTGCGTTCGGATCTATTTGTGTCACAAATCTTTCAACGGATCAATCGACGACTATCATATATAGAACTATCAACTATATATATATATGTATGTATGTATGTATATGTATATAACGTGGACGGTCGATAATATTTACGTGAAATTTTCAAAAGGTTTCGGGTTTGTGGGAGTCCACGAGAAGTCCACGTCAGACGCATAGAGAGGGCCTCGGCCAACCTTTGCTATTCAAACTCGCTTTTGCCACATCTAAAAGTGCATTTTTTTTCTTCTAATAACTTGTTTCTGTTCACAAAAATAAATTTCTATTATATTCGCATAAGATATATGATCACTATGAAATATATATATAATTTATGGGCGGATCTATTCATATATAAGTGGGGGCATTTGCCCCCATTCACATTTTAAAAAATATATATATATATTACTTATAATTTGATTAAATTGTAACAATGCCCCCATTAAAATTTAAGTAGTGTCCCCTCTATTTTTTTAAACCTAAATCTTTTTTTTTTTCAATTTTTTTTCTACCAATCTCACATTCTCCATTTTTTATTTTTTTTCCAACTCCAAATTAATTCTGTTTAATCTTTTATCAAATAAAAAAAATTATAAGTTCAATAATAAACAAATCCAAATAACTAAAACCAACAAAAATATGTAAGTATTCTGAAATTTATTTTAAATAAATTTTTTATGTTTTTATTCATTTGTTTTTATTAATAAATTTGTTTTTATATAAATCTCACAATTGATTTAATAAAAAAACAATTGATAGATTTTAAAAAAAAATATAATATCAAAAAATTAATGATCTATTTAATAAGATAAATTCAAAATTGTTCACTTATATAACAGTTTTGAATCCAGTTAAAACAATTTGTACAATCGAATTGATGATCAACTTTTAAATGATTTTATAGTTTGTTTTATATAAAAAAATAAACAGTTATAAATAAAGTTGTTATCGATGGATTTTAAAAAATGAAAGAAATAGAATTTAATAGTAAAACAAAAAATGTTATTGTGATGATATATATATATATATATTTATAAATGATGATATATTTTTATTAACTTCTTATATTATATATAATATTTTTAATTGTTGCCCCCATTGAAAAAAATTCTGGATCCGCGCCACTGTATATATATATATATATATACACTATTCGGCCTCGGCGACAAAAATATGTACGCAGTTCACTGTCATCCTTATCATTTTTTGGTAGGGATTCTCTCTCTCTCTCTCTCTCTATATATATATATATATGTGTGTGTGGGTGTGGGTGTGGAAGATAACATTCCACCAACTATTAGATCAAAGAATTAATGTATAAGAGCGTAGGCATTTAGTACGAAATGGTGGAGGATGCGATTCCCTTTTCATGTTTATGTATGTGATGCAGTTTATGTCATTTTCAACATCAAATCATGCGGCCAAAAAAGATATTTTGAACGTTTGGTTTACATGAGAATAAATTGGTGCCTCAAATGAAATAATGAAAGTGGAACAAACCATACACCGTATCTCTATATATTGCCATAATAATAAATAAATAAATAATATAGCTGAAAATTACAGTGTTCTATACATAATTTAAAACAACATAAATCATAATAGAGACACCGCTCTTTTTGTATAGTTTATATATATATATATGGGGTTGGTTGAATAAATGTGTGTATGTATGTATGTATGTATATATGCAAGCCATGATGTTATGGGGAAGGAAATAAACATGCAGAACCAATGATGAAGAGAGGGAATATATAGATATATTATCTTCAAAGGTATTTTGCATGGATATGAAAAACGGTGACGTAGCACGCGGATGTTCACATAACAAACGCCAAAAAAGGCTTTCGACTCGAGAATGCGTCTAATAAATCACAGCTGGAAATTTCAAATATATTTATTTATTTCCAATCGTGACAAAAAAAAGAATTTTGAATATTTAAAAAAAAACGAAAAAGAGAAAGAGAATACGTAAATGGAGGGAGGGAGGCCCCAAAATCCTTTGGCTTCCCCTTTCAAGAACCGAAGGGAAGAAAGGAGACATGTGCCCTCTCTCCCATGCATGCATCCTCTCCTATCAATTATTATTTTTTCATTCAACTATTATAATGTAAATTTAATATTTTTTTATCAATAATAAGAATAATTCAAATAGGGAGTTTATATTTTTTTCATTTTTAATTTATTATAAATACAATTATTGAATAATAAACTCAAACCTGAATAGAAAACACAATAATATACGAATTCTAATATGATATAAATTCTGTACAGTATTTCAATATTATTAAATAGTCGTGCATTCAAAGACAATTATTGCCATTAGAATACTTGGGATATATAGTATTGTTGGTATCTGAATTTTTCAACGTTAGTTCCAAAGAAATCGAGCATATATTTAGCTATAAGCTACAAAACGTTATCCATTTGAATTATAAAGATATGGACGTTTAGTTAAAAAAGGAAGAAGATTTTCCGTATATGCTTGTTCCAACTTTCACATATGTACTATCCGTATATACAGCATGGTATTGATAACATAGACGAGAGGTATTCGTGCAGTGGTTAAAGGGTACATGATTTTCTAAAAGGTCATAAATTCAATTTCACTCTCGCGCGAACCTTTCACTCTTTCGATGAGATTCCACTATTGCATTTAGTAAATAGTTATCTATACTCGATATAAATTACATATTGTTTTTTTTCTAATGGTGAGAACCCGTCTTCGGATCCCATTCGACCATGCAGATCGGACAACATTTCGGACAACAAACTTTCTGATCCCTACGCAATAACCGACAAACCACGTTGAACAGATAAATCAGGCGAATATGATCGACTCAGAGAAAATTCAGACGTCAAACGAAATCAATCCACGCGGAGCAGGTAAATTACATATTGTTTCTCAATTATATCATAGAATTTTAAATTTAACCGTGTCAAAAGCTTGAAAATGCAAAATAAATTTGGAATTTTACTTAAACAAATGTAATATAAAAGCTCATTATAATATCGGGAAGATTGGAGAGGCAAAATGAGAACCGATCATTTTACATTACTCTCTCTCTCTTTCTCTCTCTCACTTTCGTCCTTCTGACAGCTGAAGACTGTTAACTGACAAGTGACTTGTGTCAGTTTCTTGGGACCACACCCAAAGTCGAAAGCTGTGTGTTTCTATTACGGGGACTTTGTACGGTGCCGTTTTGGCCCCTTATGGACCCTACTGACGTGTCACTCTCTCCGGTTCTTAGCCGTCGGATCCGCCTGTTTATCTCATCGGACGGCTGACGTCGCCGTCACATCCCAGCCCCGTATGTGAACCACCCGTTCCCCGTTGGGTCCTCACGGGATAAAGCCAACGCACACTTATCTCTCGCCACAGTGCTTTGGTACCTAATAAAAAATCGGTGAGTTTTGGGTTTATGTATCTATCAGTGAAGTTATTTTTTTTATTTTCTTTTTTTGGGCTCACTTATATTACCGTTTTTGCTATGTCCAAGTGGTTATTCACCGGACTTCATTACAGAAGAAAAAAAAAACAATATAAATGACAAGAACCAAATAAATTTAGGATTATGGCCATGTTATTGTTGTTGTATAAATGGCTAGAAAATCCACTCTCAAAGAGAAAAATGACACTTTAAATAAATCAATATTCACTTTTCAAAGCATCTATTTTTCCTCTCTCTACAT